GAATGGCGAGTGGTCAGGGCAGGCCATTGGGGGAGAGTACTGAGTGGTCAGGGCAGGCCATGGGGGGAGAGTGCTGAGTGGTCAGGGCAGGCTGTGGAGGGAGAGCGAGGCAGGCAGAGGACAGACACCACGGGGAAGGCCACGCACCGCAGGCCGAGGGCCTCACACACCGGCTCCCTCATCCTCAGCCCATTCGACAGGATAGATGCCATTAGCCTATTGTATTACCCAAGAAACTGAGGCTCGGAAGGGATAAGTCACCGGAGGCCACACGGTCAGCTCAGTGGTGAACATGCATTCTACCGTCTCTTCCCAGAGCCCGGGCTCTTCAGCCCTACGCCATACAGCCCCCAGGTCACCGACGCCTGGGGAGTCCAAGCCAGCTGTCCACGGGACACGCGACTGGACGCCTGCCCTGTGCGGGCCCCGTCCTGCTGGCTGCTGGCGTGTGCGAGTGCGTGACTTGAGGCTGGAGAGGACGAGAACGGGGTACAGGGTGTGTGGGACCTGGCCAGTGCTGTGGGCCGGGGAGGGAGCAGCTCTAAGGGAATCTGGGGGTGCCGGGATGAGGCCATTTTAAGTAGGGCGGGCACAAGTGGGCCTCCCTGGGCCCGAGGCATTAGAGCGAAGACTTCGAGAGGGTGAGGGGTCCTTGAACTCCGTTTTCTCATCTGTAAACGGGGACGAAACGTCACAGTTACTGTGTCGGGCTTGACAGAGCTCCTGGGAGAGCGGAAGCCCCGGGAGAGCGGGAGAGTAGGCACTTGCTACCGGCAGAGGTCGGAGCTGCACCGGGCCACCCATGCCACGCCCGCTGCTGTCTGCGGTGGGAGAGGCCGACAGACCCCCAGACAGCCGGGAGATTAGCAGGAAGAGGCGGCAAGGCCGTGGGTGGTCATAAGGGGGCAGAGCCCGTCTCCCCAGCGCCTGGAATGAGCCCCGGTCCTTACCGGGCGCCACTCTCTGGGAGAACAGTCTGAGATGAGGACAGCGGAGACGGGCAGGTGGGGGTTAAGCAGGCTGCCCAGAGCTGGGGGACTGGCCCGGGATCCCGCCCCACAGGCCTGGCTCCCAGAACATTACAGCTGGGGCACGAGAGCCATCCCGCCCTGCCCCGTCCTTTCCAGATGTGGAACTGAGGGCTTTCCCGAGTACCCCCTCCGGGAGACGGCCTCCTGTCTGGGCCTCATCCCTGCCCGCTCTGCCGCTCCTCCCAGGGGAAGAGCCCAGCCCCGGCCACCCCAGGCCTCCTGCTCCAGAAGGCTCCAAGTAAAGGATCTCAGAGCCACAAGTGCACCCGCGACTTCGGAATGGGGGGTGCCCGTTCTTCCCATGTCACTGGCAGGGACACTGAGGACGTGCCCACCCAGTGAACAGGATCAGGCTTGGACCTTGAAGTGCAGCTGAGATTCAAAATCTGAATGAAGGTCCCGGCTCAACCCGGAGTAGGGAGGCAGGGCCAGGAGCACGGAACCAGGCTGGGGCAGAAGGAGAATCTTTATCACCCTGTCCAGAAAATTCAGCCCAGACCCTCATGTGCCCGGCCTGGCTGCCAGGGGAGAGCCCCAAAGCCAGACTCATTGCCACCAAGGGCGCTGCTGCCCCACAGCCCCCCAGAGCGGCCTGCAGGGCCTCCCCCCAATCTAAGGGCCGGCTCTCCCCCTGCATCCCCGGCCTGGTGCAGACCCTGAGGGAGAAGAGCACACCCGGTCCCCCGCTGCTCTCTGCTCACGGGGCTATGGCAGAGGGACGAGTTCAGGCTGCAAGGAGGAAGGGAAAGCAAACGCCTCAGCAGATTCGTCCCAGATGAGACTTACAGTTCCGGAGGCAGAGTCATCCCTGCCCCGTCCTCTGGATCCATCCGCGTTCCCGTCCCTCCCTCCCTCTCCTGGTGGCGTCACCCTCCAGGGCCCAGGTTTCCCAGGCCAAGTACTCGGCCCAGAAGGACTCGTGACCGCAAACTCACTGTGTGCAGGGAGCACAGCAGGCGGGCAGCGTCCTCCGCTCACCTCCTGGGACAGGCGGAGGTCATATTGGGCCAGAGCACGTTACTGAAGAGCTGCCACTGACCACAGGGGATGGCCCGGAGTCACTGCCTTAGCATGTAACTGGGTCATTGGGGACCACCGAGTGGAGCTGTATCCGTGGGTGACCACTGCCTGTCCTGCCCCAGGGCCTCAGATAAGCTTATGTGTCCCTGCCGGCCTGGTGGGGCTGCATCTGCCCTTCACCTGCCGGGGGCAGCCCTGTGTAAACACCTGGGGACGGACAGGAAGGATACATCAGCGGCCTCTCGAGGTCTTATAGGTTGTGAAACACCGCCCCAGCGCACCCCACCCCGCCCCCGGCTCGCACAGCCCGGCTCTTAGGTGGTAGCAGGTCCCCAATCACTTTTCCATTACGGAAATCGATAACTTGAATTACTCCAAAATAACCAGCGCCTTCATGCCCCTGCAAAGCTAATTTTTCTGTCTGCATTTGCCCACATGCTTCTCTGTCGGTCTGGAATCTGTCTCTACGAGTCAATCCAGGTAGGCCGGCATCTCCGTCTGCCTGACACACTGCGGCAGGACGAGAGGCGTCTGGAGTCGGAGGCTTGGGCTCGTGCATTTGCGCTGCCGCCTGCCAGCCGGGGGCCCTCGTCAAGCTGCCTAACCAGCTGGAACCTCAGTTTCCTCATCTATAAAATAGGATGTTTAGTATAACCACCCACCGAGTGTTAGGGAACTAAATGGAATAGTAATGTACATAAATGTTCGTGGCATATATTCGGGAACCAGTGAGCCAGCGGGTAAACATCTGTCTGTTCTAAGCAAGGAGCTGAACCTGCTGTCAGTGTCGCGGGGCCATGGCGGGCGGTCCTGGTGCTGCTCCTGGTGCAGTAAGGATACATCTTACGTCGGGCAGCCGGGGAGGCGTTCATGAAGGCGCACTCCCTGACGCTCTCCTTTCACAAAGGGCAAGGCCGAGACTCGAGAAAGTTAGTGTATTGCGGGGCCCCCGGCTGGTGCAGCCCTCCAGTGCCTGCACACGTGGCCTCCTCCATCGTCCCTGGTGGAGACGGGCACGGGTGCAGCTCTGGATGCTGGGCTCCAAGTCCCGGCCAGCAGATGCTGACATGCCGGGCCCTTTGCATGGCCCGGTTGGCCCTCGGCACTGCTGGAACAGCCCTCCAGATGTCGCCCCAGAAGGGTCATGTGCAACACCCAGAGTCCAGCGCCAAAAGGGATGCACTGACCCTCCCCGGTTTCAGGCCGGTCACATCCACAGCCAGTTTCTCCCTGACTGCTTGAAACCAGCTGTTCTCAACCTTTATTGGGTTTTGTGGTTGCTGTTGTTGTTTTGGGGGGATCCTATACCCCTTCGAGAAGCTGCCCGTAGGTAAAAGTGCATTGTATGCTTACAAGCGCGGGGGCGGCGGGTTAATTCCTGAGTCCGAGCTATTTTAAGATGGTCTTAGGCACCAGGGACCTTCTCGAGAGCCCTTGCGCTCACCCCAGCAAACATGTTTTACACATTCACCGTAAATTGCACACACACGAATTGAAGTGCAATCCTCTACTTGACATAATATGCTGTGTTTGTAGATACGTAATAAAACATTAGTATCAATTTGGTGCTTTCTTTTTTTACTTTGGGGCCAATGAACTTCTTTTTAAACCTTCCTGAGATCCATCCAGAAAAACACACAGACCTGAAATGTGCAGTTCAGGTCATTCTCCTGAAGGGAGCGCCCGGGAAACCGGCACTCTGGCTGAGAAACACACGGCCCGGGGTACCGTCCGGTCGCTACCTGCACCCCGGGGAACCGGCACCCTCACTTCTCACACCTAGGTTAGCGTAGCCCGTCCCCACGGGCTGCAGGTGGAACTGTTTCGACTTACTCCGTGTCTGACTGCCTTAGTCACACAGTGAACTTTGTTCAGGTCTCAGACGCTTCTGGAAGCCTGGGAAAGGCTCACAGGCCCCAGGTCCTGCCGAGACCAGGGGTTCTCACTGTGGCTTCACTTAGTCATCAGGTAGCTCTTTAAAATCCTGACGCCCTGCCGAGGCATCGGGGACTCAGTGCACGCCTCTGGGGTAGGGGCAGTGGCAGCAGCATTCCCGGCTCCCAGGCGACACCAGATGGCCACGGTGGGAAACCTTGGGCCTAAACAATCCGTGAAGCAGTAGCTCATCCGACAGCTGGGGAAACTGAGGCTCGGCCACTCTGCCACACTCTGAGGTCTGGTGCGCCTGCTCAGGGTCAGGTCTGACTTCCTTCACCCTCCCGGGAATGTGACGTGAAACCAGGGGGGGGACGCTCCCCCGTACCCTGCCCACCGTCAGTCCTTCTGGGGGTGTGGAGAGCAAGGTGGGGCTCCCAGGCCACAGATCCCTCTCTCTGATGAGCACTCACGCCTGATAGCAAAAACTAAAACAGAAAAAGAGGCAGCTGATTATCACCAAGTGCAAATGTGAGAAGGGACCTCTCCTGGACCTCACCGTTGCTGCCGGTTTCATTCCCGGGGACGTTGTACAGTGAGGACTGAGTAGCTCTGTCCAGAACTTTCCATTCTTGGGTGCAGTGCGCGTTTCTGCCACGCGGCGGCGCCTCGCGCTTCTGTAACCCGCGGTTCCCGCGCACATGGGCCTTCCTCAGTGTGGGAAGAACCCGCCGCAGGAGCCGCCTGGGCCCGCCGGTTGCTAGGAGGTTTTAGGGGGATCTAGGCGGACAGCCTGGCCGAGGAAAATGCAGGGCTCCCCGGCCCGGATTCCTGTTGG